CCCTCCCTCCCTCCCTCCCGGCCTACCTTCCTGCCTGCCTCCAGGTACCTACCCCCCTCCGCGGCCTGCCTGCCTGCCTCCCTGCCTACCTCCGTCTCGCTGGGTTTGCAGACGTGTTGTGCCCAGGGTGGAGGTGGCGACGCAAAGGCGGTTGAGGGTGACTGAGGTGGCGGTGGTTGGTGGTTGGCTGGAGCAGAACTCCGGGACGCTGGGGAACACGACGGTGATGAAGGTGCTGCAGCGCAGCGGGGTAAGCCCTAAACCCTTAACCCCAAACCCTAAACCCTGAACCCTAAACCCCCAACCCTAAACCCCTAAACCCTAAACCCTAAACCCTAAACCCTAAACCTTAAACCTAAGGTGGTGCTTCTCCCGGACGTGGTGCGCCTCGCGCTCGAGCACGCCGACACGGACGGTACACCCTAAATCCGAAACCCAAAACCTGAAATCCGCAACCCGAATTCCTAAACACTAAATCCCAAACCCTAAACCCTAAACCCTAAACTCTAAACCCTCAAACCCAAACCCGAAACCCGAACCCCAAACCCGAAACCCGAAACCCGAAACCCGAAACCCTAGGCACGGGGCAGCACACGCGGCTCAACAAGTTCGTGCAAGCCCTCGAGGTTCGCCACTCCAAACCCCAACCTCGAACCCGGGTTTGGGCTACTCTTAACCCCCAAACCCCAAACCCTAACCCCCAAACCCTAAACCCTAAACCCTAAACCTAAAACCCTAAACCCTAAACCCTAAACCCTAAACCCTAAACCTTCAACCCTAAACCAGGCGCAGCAAGCGCGGCACGTCGAGGAGCTAAACCGCAACGCGGCCATGGTGCGCGTGGCCAAGCTCGGGCGCACGCTCAAGGACGCGGTGCAGGCGCTCGACGCGCGTGGGGGGGGGGGTGGCGTCGTTGCCATCGCTGACGTACAGGAGGTAACCATAACCAACCAGGCCGCGTCGCCTCCACTCGCATAGTGCACCACGCCTGAGGAGAGCCTACGGTATTACCTACCGTAGGGCATAGGGGCTCCTAGGCCCCGGTTTTTCGGCGTGGTTGCCATGGCTGACGAACAGGAGGTAAATCCCTGTTGCCAACTTCCCACACTGTTTCCAGGGCTAACAATCTTACGTCCAGGAGGTGACCAGCCAGGCCTGTCTCACGGTGACGCGGAGTGGAAGTGCCCGCGTGGCCTCCACTCCCCTCCCCCCACTCGGCACCACCTCTCCCATGCGCCCCGCGTCTCCCCTCCAGCCCTGTTCCGGCCGCGGGTGGTGCCTGACGCGAAGCCGGAGGACGATCTGACGATGCTGACTCACGGGGCGTGGATGCTGTCCGGGAGCAGATTCTGGAGTCGGCGCCCTTCTCACTCTCGGCGCCGCTGGCTGCCTCGCTGCTGTCCTCTGGTGCGATGCGGGGGGGCGAAGGGAATGTCAACGTCAAAGGCTTCCTTCTCAAGGTTCCGCTGCCTCTCCAGGGCTACACATGGTAGAGCGGTTTTCGCATCTGTTGGCCACGAAAAGAATGAAACCATGGCTCAAGTTGACGGTTTAGTACCAGCATCGGTAGCATTTGGCATTGTTTCATTCTTTTCGTGGCCAACAGATGTGAAAAGTGCTCTATCGCGTGCCGTTGAGACGCACCGCTGCACTCAGAATCCATCCGTTTCAGATACCCTGCGTCCACAAGTGTCAAAGATGTGAGCGGAAAGGAGCCGAATCGAGTGGCTCTCCTAGACCTCTGGGGCATGACCCCCCGTTTACTAATTTCACGTACCCCCGAAACTCACGAGGTAACTAACGGTTTCACCCCCCGTGGCCCTGCGCTCCCCCAGGTGGCACCGCAGGTTGACTTGGACAAATGGACCGTGTTGCGAGAGGCGCTTCTGGCAAGGTATGCTTTAACCCAGGGACATGTTTAATTTAAAAGAAACGATCCCCTATTTGTTCATAGGAGTTGGACGAAGGTTAATTAGGGCCCTAAGTGAATTGAATTAGGGCCATAATCCGGTTTGATAGGCCATTTTCTTTTAAATTAAATATGTTCCCGGATGAGCTTGCGTCCCACCTTCTGGTGCCTGCTGGGACGGTCGCCCGGCCTTGCTTGTGTTTCGCCCATC